AATTCCCATTTTGGAGTCCTATATATAGAAGCTCCCACAACTCATTTAAAGGACTTTTTAAGACTTTTAGTAAATTTACTTAACTTTTTCTCAAATTCTTTATGTAAATCTCTCTTCCCAAATCTTCTTTTCAATCTTATTATCTTCTCACCTCAATCTTGCTTCAACACGTACCACTATTCGCCTCTACATTCGATATTTCAAGGTCTGCTATAGTTTTCCTTTTTAGCGTCTCTCGGTACATTTGTTTTACTTGATTGCAACACTTTTTCACCTCTTCAAAGCACCCTATTTACCTTTACCATTATGTAAGAAATGATTATAGATATAGATTTAAAATAATATCTAATGTAATATTGTATTCATGCATTCACCAAGGCTTTAATGTTGTAAAAGTAGCATTAAATGGCATTTTAACTATACAAAAATAAAAATTGATAAATGATAAAGTGATGTACCTTAATAAGTGTTTTTGAAAATGAAAAGTGCAGCTAACAACAAAATTCTATCAACTGCAAAAGACATTTGAATTTTTCTAAGGCCAAGATCCAAAAAAGAAGGCAATGGAGTAAACATGGCACTAACAAGCAAATGAAATGACCTTTTAGCTAAAAATTTTACTAATTTTACACTCATATGTTGACAACAACATAATATTACAACTCAAATGTATCTTAAATGCTTTTTATATAAGGGTGATGGTTGGGGTTGTTAGAACTTGAACTTAATGCTTCCAATATGCAACAAGCTGCTGTTTTAACCACTTGACGAAATGTCAAAAGTTGTCGGCAACCATAGGTTAATTTATAATAACATCAAGACCCTTGTATGAACAACTTACTCTTTCCACATTCCACTAGAAAACAATTTTTTCTTACATTTGGAAAAGTGTCACGTGACGTCATCTGGTCAATAGGTGTCAAACACATTTACTTAGATAATAACAGTTGGGCTCAATTCATTAGAAAAAAATATAATATAGTGATAAGGGTTTAAGCATGAAGTAAAAGAAAAAAAAAAGATAATGCAAAAAAGTGTGCAGCTAATCACTTTTAAAAACTCCACAATGACATTATTAAAAAGCAAAGGCTAAGGTGGATTCTAGTATTTTTACCAGTTAAGGTAATATTGCGGTAAGTAAAACAGAGAAAAAGGCCTTCTTGAAACGTTTTGAGACCTTTTCGAACATGCTTTGTAAGAATCTCATCAACAAATCGATGTTGTTTTCTATTTCATCCTCTTTATCACTCTTATCCTTTCCTAAATCATTGAAGAAAAGTTCATCGATCGCCTTAGTTTCCTCACTGACTATAAGAAAAAAAAAAACACATGGGTCAATAGCAAAAGGGAAAAATGGAGTTTTGATTAAGAGAAAAACCTGACTATGACAAATAGACAATATAGGGGGTTTGGGGTTGTGGGATTTGTAAGGGAAGGTAAGGATTGTAGATGTTGATAATTTAGAATGTTAGTGGGATTTTTCCTTACATTGAGACTCCATTTGTTTCACTAGAAAATGGATTTATTTTTTGAAAAATATGATATTTTTTATTGTTTGGATGGTCTTGTGAAAAATATTTTTTGGTGTTTGAATATTTTCTGAAAAAATAATATTTCCATTAAAATAATGTTCTTCACACAACTATTTAAATAATATTTTACACTTATCCATAATAATAATAAATGTCATAAATATAAAAATAACAATTTAAAATTAAAAATACAACACAATAAAATAATTATAATAAGCTCTCACAAACTTAGAATATAATAAAATAATTTATATATTATTTTTACACAAAAGATAGCCTTACAAAAGTTACCAACTATTCAATAATAATATAAATGATAAAATTTTATCTAAAGAAAATAATTTTTAAGTGTATAAAATACTTAATATAGTTCTTAGACATATATTTAAAATAGCATTACTTTTTTTAAAATATTATTTCTATTAACATAATAATATAATCTTATTATTTATTATTTACAATTTAAAATATTTACTATTAAAAATTTTAATTTTATATTGAAAATATTTATTATTAAATTATAACAAATGTATTGTTTATTTATATTTATTATTAAGATAGTAATATAAATGTCAATAAAATAAAAATAAAATATTAAAAAGGATTAAAAACAGTCATATTATTAAAATAATAATATTATATTAAACACTATTAATTATTAAAATAATACAAATTATTTACTATATAAATATTTATTATTTATTATTAAAAAACTAATATAATACTATTTCTTATTGAAATATTAAAATATTTATGTTTAATAATATATAAAATGCAATTATTTAAAAATAAAATATTAGAAAACTTTAAATATTAATATTTTAATTTTAAAATATTTTTAATTAAAATTAAATAAAATTAAATTTTATTAATATAATATTATTTCGAATCAAATCAAATTAAGTTCGAGTTTAAACAATCATGTTCGAAGTTCAACTTAATTAAAATTATAAAAATATTTAAAATTAAAATATTAAAAGACTTTCGATATTAAATTTTTAATTAAAATTAAATAAAATATTTTTATTAAAATAATATTTCAAATTGAGTTATATTAAACCCGAGTTAAAAAAATTCATGTTTAAGTTCCAATTTAAATTGAGCTGTACTCACAAACTTGGTAAATGGTTTTACTTATAAATAGTTATTTTTAAAAAGTTATCTTCCCTTTTTGAAAATGGCAAAATAATTTTTAAAAAAATGATCTCATTTTTTGTTGATTAATAAGTCATTTTTATACAAAACAATGAAGACTAAATAAAAGGCTTAATTGTTGGAGAATATATTTAATTTTGTATGAAATTTATTTGAGTAATAATATTGAATAAAAAATTTTGTAATAATTTATAACGAATGAAATATAAACCATTTAAATATGTTTAAACATAATTGTATGTAATAGTTAATAATGAACGAGTTTTAACTATAAAAAATATTTTTAAATACTAACGTTTGTGATAGTTATTAATGAAAGAGCTATAATTATTTACATAAATAATTATATTTGATAAAATTTTTTGTTTATAATAGTTAATAATAAAAGAGTTATAACTATTTTAAATAAACCAACATTATTATTCATAAAAAAAAATAACTGTTTAATTAATATAAAATTTTTTATGTATGATTTTTATTATTTTTATTTGAAAAATTTTGAAAATTTGTTATATCTTAAAAATATAATTAACTTTAAAAAGTAATTTTCACGTTTCAAAGCTGAAATTTATTTTTATTATTTCTGTTTTCTTAATTCTTTTTCTAACAGCAGGTGGGGAGAGTAAAGAGTGGGGAGATTGCCGGTAGCTATAGGAATGAGGCTGCCGCATGAACCAGCCATGGCCATCGCCGTTTGAGAAGAAACAGAAGCAGTAAATTAGGTAAAAGATCGGCAACAAAGCTGTGAATATTTGGGGGGAAATAGCCATAAAGGCCCAAACCAAATGCCTAAAATGTTAATTTTGAGGTTTGACCAACGATTTAGGATGGGGTGCTTTCTCTTGACTCTCAAAATTTTGGGCTTTGCAGCCAATGTGTCCAAAGTTAGTCTTTGATTAGGAAGAATACGCTTTCATATAAGCATGTTATTATTATTATACTTACTATGGTGCTTAATCAGTAATAAAGATGTAATCGAATTGAGTCGAATCGATATAGTAAGAAATTTGAGTTCAAAATTCGACTTTCAACTCGAAGCTCAATACTCGGTTCGAATTTAATCGAGTGTTATTTTCTTAGCTCGAGCTCGATTCGTGATCGAAATCGAATTACTCGAACTCGTTTGATTAAGATCGATTAATATGTTAAAATAAGCTCAATTCTTATATTCGACAAGAGTTTGATTATTTGTGCTCAAACTCAAATTCGAGATATTTTATTAATTAAAATAATAAAAAAATTTTAAATATAAAAGCTCGATTAGGCTCGTGAGCTACTCAAACCGGGCATAAAAATATTCGAACTCGACTCGATCGATAAGTCGAACTACTCGAATTCGAACTCAACTCGATAATAATTGAACCAAATTAAAGTTATATTCGAATTGAACCCGAATAACTTGTGAGTAATAATGTATAATTTACACTCCTAATCAAGAGAACAAATTGCTAGATGTTCAACTAAAGATAGTAATTAAATCTCAAAAAGGGAAAATCTTAATGATTAAGGTGAAGCTTGAACTTACTTGGAAACCTATTATTGTCAGGAGAACAAATTGCTAGTTGTTCAACTAAAGATAGTAATTAAATCTTAAAAAGGGAAAACCTTAATGATTAAGGTGAAGCTTGAACTTACTTGGAAACCTATTATTATCAGGAGAACAAATTGCTAGTTGTTCAACTAAAGATAGTAATTAAATCTCAAAAAGGGAAAACCTTAATGGTTAAGGTGAAGCTTGAACTTACTTGAAAACCTATTATTTGTCTTTCCAATTTTATCAGGACAATCGTTTTATTGAGAAATCCTGAATTTTTAACAATGGAATTGGTAACAAAATAAAAAGAAGTTGAAATAAAAACTTATACTCCGTAACAAAATTCAAAATAAAAGTGTGACAAGTAGGATTATGCCACTTTAGCTTTGATATTGAAAAGTCATTTTTATGTTTAAAAATTATTTATTATTCAATTTCAATGTTAAATAATAAAAAATGATTTTTCAATTTAATGCTTGATTTATGAATTCAAATAAAAACATTTACAGAGGTGTTTTCCTGTCAAACGCAATTTATGTGGATAAAATAGTTTTATTATTTTCATATCTTTAAATTTTTATTATTTTATGCTTAAGTTTTTATATATTTCAATTCATTATAATATTTTTTTTCTAAACATTTAAAAATTTTTAAATCATATTTTTTATCACATATTTAAACACATTTTTTCAAATCAAAATTTTTTCTAACCATAATAACAATTCTAAAATAAATCCTAAGCGATTTTGTTTCCCAATTTGGTTTTTGCATAACAAATGTCCCATAGGAGCCATACATAAATGTAATATGCTTGGATCGCCCTCTTTTTAGCAGCAAGAGAACTTTGCGTCTGTCCTAAATTTCAATAGTGGCTATTAAATTCCATTTCCGCTGCTAAATTTTGTCGCTTCGTAGCCATAGCCAGTCCACAACCGGCAGGTGTCCGTCATCTCTCATTCACCATCATCCGACATGGCTACGTGGCACAACAATAGGACATCCAACGAAATGTCGACGAAACGTCGTCGTTCGGTTGGTTGCTTTTAAAGAACGAGTCCTCTTTGGCGCTTTAACCCAACGAATCTTCCAATTGACCTTTCCACTCAACGCAACCTCTCCACGCGCCTGATTAAAACAGATACCAGCCATTTCGCTTTTGATTGGCAGCGGGGAATAAAGCCACGCGCCGAAATTTCTAAGCAAAATCTACGCGGTTCGTTTCATCACTGATCGTGTTTTAAACTGCCCAAATAGAAGGGAAATGAAATATTGGCAAAAAAAAAAAAAAAAAAGAAAAGAAAAGAAAGTAAATTGAATTGAAGCAGAGCAGGGGTCCTCTCTGTTACATCGTCCCTGCAAACGAGACATCGCCTTTAAACGAACTCCACCAAACGACAAGCAAGCCGACATAGCGGGAGAAACAGAAATAAAAAACCGATTGAAAATTCATTTTCTGAATCTACGTTTGCTCATTTTCAATTTTTTTTTTGGGATCGGGAAGAAAAAAGGAAAATAAAAGAAGGAAGATGAGTGGATGGGACAGAGTTAGGTCGTCGACGAGATCGCAACAGGGTCGTAGTCAGAACTTGAGTCAACGGGCGCCGTCTCGAACCGTCACGCTGGGTCGGGTTCAGCCCCAGGCGCCCGCCTTCCGCACCATCTACTGCAATGACCGCGACGCCAATTACACCCATCGTTACAGGGTATTATATTAATATATAAATATTTTAATTTCTGATGTTATTAAGATATCCGTTTACGTTTCTTTTTGGGCGTTTAGATTTCCTGGAGAATAGGAATTGTAGTGAACTTGAATCTTTATAAATGTTTACGAAACTAATGCTACAATCAGGAGGCGCATGATTTAGGGGTTTTTTTTAAGATTAATCTTAAATGCCTGATTTGGAGCTCACAATATCTTTATTTTTCTAAATATCATACGAGTGCCCTAATCTTGTAAAAATCTTAAAGAGAGTGTAGTATTGCGTTAACTCTAAGTTATAGAGAATGCATGTGATCTTTTGGAACTGCTAATAAACTAATAGGGAAATAACATGTTCCGAAAACTTTAAACTAAAATTCTTCAATTATAGTTAAAGGATAAAATAAAATGGCATCTTCCCTAACCTTGTCTATTTTTCGGTGATGTGTGCATGTCTCTCCTGTATATAGTTTGTATTCAACATTTCCTTTAAAGCTAGAATGGAATGCTGCAATATGAAGAAAATGCCTTGATATATTTAACAAGTAGAAATCCATATCAAAAGAAAATGTGCATTTGTTTGCTTGATGCAGAGAACTGATCTTTGTCCTTCACTTCGTGTAGGTCATTTCTTTTTCCGCTTCAAGTTTTATCTTTTTTAAACTTGAGTTTATGCCAGTAGTCTATGAGGGAGTGCAAATACAATAAGTGGGTTTGGTATCATTTATGATGCTTCTGAAGATTTTTATTTAAGCAATTTCTTTTGACCTTCAACTAATCATTTTCCAGGATTTTCATGTATTGTAGCTTAAGTTTATTATTGTTGTGGGAAACATTTAATTGAGTCAAACAGTTTTACCAACCTCCAGTGAGCTTTTTTTCTGACATGTGCCATAGACACCTTTGTGTCTGCAAAGGTGATTCCTTTTTTCTTTCTTGTAATAGGTTAAATTAATGGGAGGTGAAATATGTTGTAATGTTGCGACTCAACTGGATAAATTCATATTTTTCATTCATTATTTCTCTTGTTTGTGAGGGTTCATCTGTTTTATTCATTGATTGTCCAAAGATATTAGCCTTTCTATTTAGGAAACTACCCTGACATAGGAATTTCCTTGATTGTAAGATTCATTTCGTTGGAAGTTTTAGAAAACTAGTTTTCCTTAGTTATTTGATGAGATTCCAGATATTGGTATGACCATAGACTACGATTTTTTGCAATTACTCTGCTTACAAGTTTCAAGATTGTGGTGTAAGTTCATGTGCTTTGCCTATATGGAGGAGTCAAGACGGTTATAAATTTTTGGGAAGTTCAATTAATGATGCATGAGCGGCATATGAAAGTTAAATTTTAGTGTTGATAAATGCACCTTTATATACATAAGTTATTAATGCTTATTTCATATATTCATACATATGCATGTATGTATTGTACAAAATTGGATTGTGATTTAATTTGCATTATTTGTGTAAGAATGTTTTTGGTTTCAAGAAATTTTGTTTGTATTCATACTTTTGTTGCTTACATCTGATTCTGATAAGTTGGTTGTAGTTCTCATTAGCCTTATATCTATTTTTTCAGGGGAATTCCATATCAACTACAAAGTACAACTTTTTAACCTTTCTGCCGAAGGGGCTGTATGAACAGGTAAATTTATTGTTCTCCAGCAGTGAAACGGGGTATGGTTGTATGATGCTTTAGGAATTTCTTATGAACACTTTTTAGTTGTCTTTTGCATTTTGGCCTCTGATTTAACCTTGGAGCCATTTTGGAGCCATAAAGAGGCTTATGTACCAATCACTAAGCATTCTGCTAATGGTACAATGGGTAACTAAACAAATAAAAGTTCCCAAATAAACACCAATGGTTATAGTTGAAGCATGATGGTTATGTTTTTGATTATGGATAAAGAAATTTATTACTGATTAAGTATGGGGACAGTATCAGTTTCAAAAATAACCATGGCCATAACTGTATACTTAAGTATACTCAATATGGACTTAGAGTATAACTGTTAAATACCCATATAAATACCCTTTTTTGCATAACTAAATTTTGTAATCTTGATCCGGACAAAACTTTAAAAAAGGATTCTAAAGAAAATTATTTTGCTTAATTGTTATTAAAATTAATGATTAAATGGGTCAATTATTTTGGTCCTTATATGATATAGGTATAGGCTTTTGAAAATGCTAAATAAATAAATGATAATAACTGTACTTGTATGCTGTTAAATCCATGGATGGGTTTATGGTTTTACATTTCCATAACAGCACAATCATGGTTATGATTATGAACTTGGTTAACGACTATGGTTATCCTAACAGGCTTTTTAAAATTGCCTTATTTACATCTATAACTAATTATTGGCTTGGATGTGCTAAATAGGTTAGGGAACAGAATGGAAGATACATTATTGTTTCTATTCTTGGCTAAATCATTGTTTTTGTGAAGAAGAGTTATAATCTTTTTCTTTGAGAATAATAGTAAATTAAAAAGTATACTAGTTTTAGCTACCACCTTCCACCAAAGATTCCCCTTTTCCATATTGAATCCTGCAACCTTTCCTGGCAACATTTTAAAGCTGTACAATTACACTTGTAGGAGGTATGATGATCTTTTCTATTTGTGATTCTTGACATTGTAATCATTGCTTTATATTATATCTATGCATTTTTTCCTCTTAACAGCTAAACAGCTTAAATTGGCTCAATTTATTTTGACTACATGTTTGGTCAGCCATTATATCTTAATGAGGAATGCCAAGTGCAACAGTTAAAGTGCTATCAGATTGTTTAAAAGGAAAACCATTACCAGGTTTAATTCCAATGAAGTATTGCATGTTTAACATTTCTTGTTCTGGGATTACTTCCGTTCAATTCGCATTGACAAACTTAAGGATGTTTGAACATGTCAAGTGAAGTCATGTTTGCGTAAGCGTAATGAAATAAATTTTTACTATTCTGGATGATGCTTCAAAACTGCCATAACCCTCACCATAGTTGTAATACAGTGTCTGCCTTGCCGTATCAACCCTTGGTTTTTGGGTTTGGAATATGAGTCAAAAATCTAACTTGATTAATTTTTGTGGATTTGGTTTGAGCTGGGAGCTCCTGTATTCTGGCGACTTATGATCCTGACAAGTTCTGTTTTACTCTGACAGTTCAGGCGGGTAGCTAACTTGTACTTTCTTATGGTATCAATTCTGTCAGCAACTCCATACAGGTAAGCTTTTTCCACCATATTAGTGAACTGAGTTTTGTTACCACTGGTCATTACAAAGAACATATTTCCTGGAGTGCTGGAATTATTACCTTAATTTGTTCAACTGTTCTGTTGGTGGTATTCAATTGATGTAGGAAATATGGCTTGGGGCTTGGGGTGAATTCTTTCTTGAGCACGATGAGACTTATTTGTTGTCTCAGATATAACAACCTTCAGCTTTGAGTGAAATATTATTAATATTTCATTGGTCTAATGTACGTTTTATTTATTTTTTAAAAATAGATGTTGAAACTGTGAGTGTTGTCCATGCGGAAACTGACATGACTGTTAATAGTATTTCTGTTCGTTTCATGTTTCCATGTGAAACGTAGGCCTATTTGTGTACCAATAAGGAGAAATGGGCTTTGGAATTTGGGAAAGACCAAAGCTTCTAGAGATAGACCACGAAAGACGTGGATGCAAGTAATAAGAGATGATAGGAGGGTTAAGGAAGTAGATGAAAAGGTTGTTTTTGATAGAAATGAGTAGTGCAAGAAGATTTGAGACTACGACCTAACATGATTTCTTTTTTTTTTGGCCTCTCATGCAGCCAACCCCAGAGTTATTTTTGGCCTTTCAAACAGCCAACCCTAGAGTTATGGGATATAAGGCTTAGTTTGTTGTTATTGTTGTTGTTGCTCGTTTCATGTTTCCACTCCTTAAAGTTTATAACCTTCTGAAGGAACTTTTTTAAATTGATGATAGAGTTTTATAAGAAACTTCACAGAAACGATCTGAATTAGGAAACATATATAACTCTTAACACTAATTACTAGGAGGAGCCCAATACAGCTGCTTTTAGTACAAACTGAAACTCTGCCTTTCAAAAATTATTTTGCATATCCCCTTCTTCATCTTCTACCTTCTTCCATGCGCCCATTACTTGCATTTACTTTATGTTTTCCTATTCTCTTGCATGTGAAACCTCTCTTTTTTCCTCCTTTTTTCTGGTTTAATTATTTTGATAATAATGACTTGAAAGACTGAAGAAATGTTTAACCAACCGATTTGTGCATTGGTGAGATCTGTTTCATAATAACATTTTTCTGTTGACGCAGTCCTGTGCATCCTATAACAAATGTAGTTCCTCTGAGTCTGGTGCTTTTAGTTTCTCTTATTAAAGAGGCATTTGAGGACTGGGTGAGTACTACAGTTCATGCTCATCATAGCATACTTTTTTTTTTTTTCCTTTGGCTTGGTCCTTAATTGACTTTCTTTTCTCATCTTTATTTTTGGTTTTTGGAAGTTTTGGGGCCCAGGGGGATAAGGTTCTGGAAGGGTTAGCTTGAGCTTTGACTTTTACAAATTTGGGTTGAATGCTGAACTCTTATTTTTCTTTCTTTCCCGTATTATATACAACAGAAACGTTTTCAGAACGATATGGCAATAAATAACACTCTTGTAGATGTGTTGCAAGATCAAAGGTGGGAGTCTATTCCATGGAAAAAGTTGCAGATTGGAGATATTGTCAGGGTGAGTTTCTACATGCATGTTGTTGAGATTGCATATCGACATTTAGGAGTTCAACGACATAGATATAATATTGTTTTCTTATAGTGGGGATGATGATTGTCTTAAATTGTTGTGTGACTTCCCCCCTTCTTCCGCCTCCCCCCTCTTTCTGGAGATATCTAGAAAAGATTTTCAAATGTATTTTGCTTTTCACTTTGTTAGCATTTTGAGTTTGGATTAATATCCATCTGTCTGGCAGTTATCATGTTATGAAATTTGTGATTTGTTGGAAGTTAAGGTGACTTGTTGATAGATGCTTTAGTATCTAGTTACATAAATTCAGTCTGCTAGGCATATGAGTTCTGGACTGTGTTTCCCTCACCTTAGTTCTCACAAAGAAGTTATTACCGTTATGTAAAGTCCTTTAGTCAGTCAAGGTCAACCAACCTTCATTGACTTTTCCTTTTTTTTCTAATGATTTTTCCATTTGGAGACTGAAATTTTAAGATATTTGTAGCTTGTGGAAAAATTTCTTTGTTCATATATGTTACAATATAATATTATCATGATTGAGGCTTATTAAATTGATTTACATAAATATCACTGGCTCACCTCCTTTGTAATTATATGAGAATATAGTGGAATTCTGCCCTTGTTGCAGGTTAAGCAAGATGGATTTTTTCCTGCAGATATGCTTTTACTTGCTAGTACAAATCCTGATGGAGTTTGCTACATTGAGGTAATTACCTTTTATGGAACCTATTTGGAGCTATTTATTTTATTTTATTTATTTTATACTTTTTAGTCTATTTTTGAAAAGTGAGTGCCTTTTTCATGTTATGTATGGTTGCGTGCTTTATTTCTGAAGTGAAACAATTTTTCCTTTTGATTGCAGACTGCAAATTTGGATGGGGAAACAAATCTGAAAATCAGAAAGGCGCTAGAAAGGACTTGGGATTACGTGACTCCTGAAAAAGCCTGTGAATTCAAAGGTTAAGCCTTTTAATTATTTCAAATTTCAAATTTGAATCACTGACAAAGCATAAAAAACTTGATTTTTGTTCAGAGTTTTCCTTTATTTTGTGTCTGTGATTGTGACAGGTCTTTGATGCTATTGTGCTCATTGTTTTAACAGCTGAACTAAAATAATGAATAGGGTCAAAGTCTTGTAATTATGAATTAATATATCAAATTATTTTCTTAACAGATTTCATTCACTTTCACCTTGCTTTTTGGAAATGATGTTATATATGACTAGGATGGTTCTGCCTATGAAGGCATAAGATTGATGACATCAATTATTGTCCATTCTAAGTTTTCTTCTTCCACCAGATTTTGCCGCAATAATATGTCACCTCCATCATATTTGTCACTTTAATCTTCATCTCTTTGTTATGTGTTTCTTGTTTTTATTTTTGTTATTTATGCCCTTTTAATGAGAATATCAAAGTAGAAGAACAGAAATAAAAACTATGAAAAGAGAACATTTCACTCACTTTTCAGATTTCTGTTATTCAGCTACAATGAGGATATGGTGAGAAATGACTAACAAATTGGAGTTTAAGCTAGTTGGAGAATCCATTATTTGTACCTGTTGGGGTTTGTGAAAATTTGCTATTGCCTTTTTGCCATGTCTTGAGGCATATTTTTGTTAAGGCTCGATTTGATTGATTCTTTTGCTATTTGCTTTATCTTTTTGCAAAAAATGAATAAATTGTAAAAAGAAAAAGGACAAAAAATGAATAAAAAACAAAGGGCAGATAGCAAATAGCAAAGCATCAACCAAATGGAGCGTAAATTATTGATATTTGTTGCTTTCATATCTACCTCAACTTAAGCCCATTTTTTTCATTTAATTTTAACTGCTCATTTTTACATTTTTCTGTCTGTGACCTTTTACATGGTGTTATAGGTTTTCTTCTATTACTTAACCATCCTTTATTGGTTTTTACCTTCTGATTCTAACTTGTTATGAGCATATCTACTTCTAATTGTTTTTACCTTTGGCTCCTTCTGTTCCAAATTGAATGCATATCTTTCCATTTTGGGATATTTCAAAATTATGCCACTCTTTCCATTTCAAAATTCTTTTTGCAAAAAATGAATAAATTGTAAAATGAAAAAGGATAAAAATATGAATAAAAAAACAAAGGGCTGATATCCAAATGCAAATAGCAAAGCATCAAGCAAATGGAGCCTAAATTATTGGTTTCTGTTGCTTTCATATCTACCTCAACTTAAGCACATTTCTTCCATTTAACTTTAACTGCTCATTTTAAGCATTATATTTATCTGTCTGTGACCTTTTACTTGGTGTTTTAGGTTTTCTTCTATGACTTAACTCTCCTTTTTTGATTTTTACATTCTGATTCTAACTTGTTATTAGCACATCTGCTTCTAATTGCTTTTACCTATGACTTCTTTCAGTCCAAATTGGATGCATATCTTTCCATTTTAGGATGTTTCAAAATTATGCCCTCTTTCCACTTTAAACATTTAAAGGATTTACTTTTATCTGTATTCCATCTTAACTTTTCATGGTCTTTTTTATTCTTAAATATCTTTTGGAAATATAAACCATTAGAAAATACTATTATTGAAATTTAAAAATTCTAATATAAAAAGCCATAAATGATGTAATATCCAATATCATCAATGTACTTAATATATGAGTACAATGAGGAAATCCTTGGCAGCATCTCTTAGTTAAGTCTCTGGGAAGGAATTAGAGTGTTCTTTTTTATGTTGTTAAAGTCAATATAAATGTCTAATACTCTTTCTTTGCTCATCTATGTACTTTGATTGTCGACAAACCTATCTTTTCATTTGAGTTTGATGGGCTTTAATCGAAGTGATGGTTTCAAAATTAATTTGTATCCTTTTCTTGTTTCTTCTTCTTCTTCTTAACTTCTAAATAGCAGCACTCTTTGTCAATTGCAGGTGAAGTGCAATGTGAACAACCAAACAACTCTTTATACACTTTTACTGGCAATCTTGTAATGGACAATCAAACATTGCCTCTTTCTCCAAATCAGATTTTACTGAGGGTATGTTCTGATTTTCTTCCTTCCGTCATTAGCCCTTTACTTCATGTGTTCCCAGGTTATGCATTTTTTTTTTCAGAAATTAACCTTATGGCAATTAATGACACTTTGAAGTTAATATGTTATTTTGGCCCTCTAGAATTTGCCAGGAACATAATATTAGTTCTTTTACCTATTGAATTTGGTGGTTTTTTTTGTACTTAAATGTCATCTGATACCAATTGGCACGAATAGTAACATATTTTCTTTATAGAACATTGTTTCAAATTTCTGGGTCTTTTATCTTTGGGAATCTTTTATCAGTTAACAACTGTTGCATTTGATGTTCTTTCTCCACTGATGAACTTAAATGGAACTGGTATTGGCAATTTGATTTCAGGGTTGCAGTCTAAAAAACACTGAGTTCATAGTTGGGATCGTTATTTTTACTGGTCATGAAACAAAGGTTTGTTATAGAAGCTTTATAGTAACTCTTATATGCAATATGCCCAGACAAATAACATGCCACAATTTTTTGTTTTATGGGAAATGTGAAATGTTCAATTGTGAACATTTAAATGTGAAAAACATTTGCCACTATATTTTCAGATCATTTCCACCTTTGATACTTTGCATCTTTATTATCATTTTGTAACTGACTGAGCTTAGAATGTTATTGTGTGTGTTTATCCACTCCAATGCAGAAATAAATTTGTGATTCTTCTTCCCTTCTTTATCTGTTTTGCCTACTCTTTAAAGCTGATGTTGTTTTGTGGGAATTTGGGATGAGTTTGCAGGTTATGATGAATTCCATGAATGTTCCTTCGAAAAGAAGTACGTTAGAGAGGAAACTTGACAAACTTATACTCACTCTCTTTGGTACTCTTTTCACTATGTGTCTGATTGGAGCAATTGGCAGGTGTGGGAAATAGCTAGTCTGCACTTATATTACATGTTGTTAAATATTGTGGGATTTTATTCAAATTCTTTTTTCAATAGTTTTTGATAATCGTGTTCTTTGCTTGAAATATTGCAGTGGTGTATTCATTAACCGAAAGTACTACTACTTAGGTCTTAGTACAAGTGTGGAAGATCAGTTCAACCCTAACAACCGATTTCTGGTACCATATGCTTGTTGTTGGTTCTTAATTTCTCTCTCTCTCTCTCCCTCACACACACACACAGACGGATGCAAAAAATTTTAGCTCAATTCTGATTTGTTGGTTTTACAGGTTGCTCTTTTGACCATGTTGACCCTGCTTACTTTATACTCGACAATTATCCCTATATCTCTATATGTTTCTATTGAGGTTGGCCTTGTTTTTCTTGTTTAAAGAGTTCTTGCTTTATAAATGTGCAAAAATGGTCTTACCAGATTTCATCTGCAATTTCAGATGATCAAGTTTATTCAGTCCACTCAATTTATCAACAAGGATTTAAATATGTACCATGCTGAAACTGACACCCCTGCTTTGGCCAGGACTTCTAATTTGAACGAGGAACTTGGACAGGTAAAGTACAAGCAGTTTTAGCCAACTTGAATGAGATGCAGCCAATTTTCTTATTCTCTATATTGAGCTCTAAATCATTTTGAATTGCTGGTATGATTAGGTGGAATACATTTTTTCTGATAAAACTGGAACTTTGACAAGAAATTTAATGGAGTTCTTCAAGTGCTCGATTGGAGGTGAAATTTATGGAACTGGTATGACTGAAATTGAGAGAGGTGTTGCTGAACAAAAAGGCATAAAGGTTCAAGTGGTATTCTCTTTTATATGTTTATGAAGAAACTTTTTTGAGTAAATTTACCTACGCTGCAAGGGAATGATGTTCTTGTTCTCATAACACCTTTTATAGGTGCAAACATCAATCAATTCTATACAGGAAAAGGGTTTTAATTTTGATGATGTCAGAGTCATGCGAGGAGCTTGGAGAAATGAGCCTAATCCTGATGCTTGCAAGGTAGCTTACGATGGTCTTTGGCAATAGAATGTAATATATAGTAGTACTTTTACATTTAATATGAAATATTTATTAGTAAAAGGTGTTGAAAAACTGAGTATATAGAAAAACTTGTTTGTCAATTATACAAACACTTTAGGTTTATATATAGCAACTAGAAGGTAAACTAGGAAATTAAATCTTCCTAAAACTAATCCTTATAATTGAGGGATTGTCTATCCTAATTTTCAGTCTTTAATTCTAGGGATACAGATTACAACCAGATTAATTTTAGGGATATAGATTACAACCAACTTAATTCTAGGTATTTTCCCACACTCCCTCTCAAGTTGGTGAATAGGGGTTTTCCATTGCCAGCTTGGAAATAATTTCTTGAAATGTTGCATTGCTGAGACCTTTAGTCAACAAATCTACAAGTTGACCCTTGGTTGATACATAAGGTGTGCAAAATCAACTCATTGTCTAGTTTCTCCTTTATGAAGTGCCGGTCAACTTCAATGTGGTTTTTTTCTGTCATGTTGCATAGGATCATGTACAATGCTTAATGCAGACTTGTTATCACAATAAGGTCTCATTGGTCCATCCCACTTGATCTTCAAGTCTTCTAAGATAATCTTTAACCGTAGTAGTTCACAAATTCCTTGAGCCATTGCTCTAAACTCTACTTCAACACTTAATCTTGCCATCACATTCTGTTTTTTACTCCTCCAAGTCACAAGGTCACCACCTACGAAAGTGTAGTAGCCTGAGGTGGATCTTCTATTAGTTACTAAACCTACGTAATCAACATCTATATGTGCGTTTAGAATCAGTGTAGAATTTCTTTTGAACAAAATAACTCTTTCAGGATTGGCCTTCAAATAGTGTAATACACAAGTAGGCAGCTTGTAGGTGCATTTCTTTAGAACTATGCATAAATTGACTTATCATACTTATGGCATATGCTATATCAGGTTTAGTATGTGAGAGATAAATGAGTCTTCCAACTAATCTCTTGTACATCTCTCTATCTATAACAACATCTTCATTAGCTTCTCCAAGTTTATGATTATGATCTATAAGGGTATTTGCAAGTTTACATGTGAGCTTTCTAGTTTCCTTCAAAAGATCCATCACGTAGTTCTATTGTGAGATGAAAATACCATGCTGTGAGTGAGCTACTTCAATTCAATTTCCCTAGCTCTTTTATTTCAAATTCTCTGGCCAAGCACTGTTTTAGAGATTCTCTCTCTTTTTCATCATCTCCAGCTACAATTATGTTATCAACATACACTAACAGAATTGTGACTCTCCCCAAAACCGAATGCTTGATAAATAGTGTGTGATCCCCTTAACTCTACTTATATCCCATTGTTAGCATCACTTTGGCAAATCTCTCGAACTAGGCTCTAGGAGACTGTTTAAGGCTACATAAAGCCTTTTTCAGCTTGCATACTTTGTTTGCTCCTAGATGGCCTCCAAATCTTGGTGGAACCTTCATATATATTTCTTCTTCCAAATCACCATGTAGAAAAACATTCTTTATATCAAATTGTTAAAGCTGCCAATTATAATTTGCAGCCAAGGATAACAAAGTAATAATTGTATTCATCTTGGCAACTGGAGCAAAAGTTTCTTGATAATCCATTTCATAAGTTTGAGTGTAGCCCTTAGTTACCAACCTGGCCTTATACTTTTCAACAATACCATACGCATTGTATTTTACAGTGAAAACCTATTGACATCCAACTGGATTTTTTCCTTTAGGCAACTCTATCAGTTCCCATGTCTTATTTTTCTCTAAGGCCTCCATTTCTATTTTCATGGCCTGCTTCCATTTCTCATTGGGTAATGCCTCAGATAATGTGGTTGGAATAGAAATAGTGTTTAGGCTCACAAGAAAATTTTTGTGGGAATTAGAGATTGGGTATAATGGATGTTTAGTACATTCTTTGGTTCTTTTCCTAATAGCAATAGGCAGATCATAATCACTAGTTTCAGTTTTAGGAGATTCATGCTCATTTTGAGAAATAGAGTTAGAGACTATAGTTACCTCATTTCCAGAGTTATGATTAGGTTCTTGGAATTGCATCGGTTCAGGAGCTGGAACTTTCCTTCTCGAGTACACTTGTAATTCCTTCATAGAATCAAGAACAATATTATGCTTAGTCACAGCTTTTGTGTTTGGAATGAGTTTAGACTCAAATTTAGTGTTTGACTTGGGTTCAGAAGAAATATGTTTAGACTCAGAAGAATTAATGGGTGAAAATGTTGAGGAAACAAGTTTAGACTTAAAAGAATTGAAGGGTGAAAATGTTGAGGAGGTGGACAAGTCAACCAAAACGATGTCTTTATCCTTATCTTCCATGAATGAAGTCTTTCCCTGAAGATAAGGTTGAGTAAAAAATGGTTTACTTCTTTCAAAAGTGATATCTGCAAACATATAGAATTTTTTTGTAGGAGGATGATAGCATTTATACTCTTTCTGAGCTGATGAATATCCCAAAAAAATACACTTAATTGCTCTTGGATCTAACTTCCCCCTATTATGACTATGAACATGAACAAATGATTTGCAATAAAAAATCTTAGGTGTGAGGTTGTTAGTGGTATTAAAGTTGGGATAGAATTGTGAGAGTAGTTCCATAGGAGTTTTAAATCCCAAAACCTTTGAAGGTAACCTATTTATAATGTATGTGGCAGTGAGAACAGCTTTCCCCCAATAGGATTTGGGTACATTTGCTTGAAAAAGTATGTTTTTCCTTTCTACCACTCCATTCGACTATGGAGTATTAGCACAAGATAACTTATGAATGATCCCCTTTTTTTAGAAATAGGTAGATAAACTCGGTTGAAATAATCTCTTGCATTATCAGATCTAAATCTCTTGATTTTCACTCCAAATTGATTTTGGATCATCTAATTTGGATTTAAGTAAAAAAATCCAAGAAACACTAGTAAATCATCTATGAATGAAACAAACCATCTTGTACCAGAAATATTAAAAATTGTAGAGGGATCCCATATGTCGCTATGAATCAAGTAAAAAGGAGTAGAACTTCTTTTGTCGCTAACTGGAAAAGACATGTCTGTTTTGCAATTTTACAAACATCACAATAAAAATTTTCAACATTTAATCGTTTGAACAAAGAAGGAAACATTTTTTTCAAAGTTTCAAAAGAAGGATGTCCAAGATGAAAATGATAAAGCCAGATTTTGTCTTTATTAGGAGATTTTTCAGAAAAAAAAATGAGAAAGGTAAACTATTCTTGATATTACTTATGTTGTTTGATATCTCAAGATAGTATAGTCTATCCTTCTCCTTAGCAAGTCCAATCCTCTTTCCTGAACTTTGGTCTAGAAATTCACAATAGGAGGGATAAGAAATCACTTTGTAGTTTATGTCTTTAGTAAGTTTTTTTATAGATATAAGATTAGTACACAATTGAGGAACATGAAGAACATTTTTAAGAACAAACGAGGGATTAATTTGAACATCCCCTATTCTTGCCATTGTAGTAAGTGAACCATTTGCAACAACAATTCTCTTATTACTGGGACATAGGTTATATGTACTAAACTTCTGTGAGGAATGTGTCATTCTGTGGTTCATGAGTCAATGACTCAAGAACTTGTAATAGACTTAATCTAGACATTTAGTCCATGAGAACTAGAGACCTTACCTAAACTAGAGACCTTACCTAAGGCACGTACCCCAATAGGCTTTTCAAGAGTTTTCAATAGGCTTCTCAATTTCTCAATCTTTTCTTTGTCCAACTCAACTTGTTCTTGAGACTTTTGTAGTACTTTGGTGGTTTTACAACTTGACACTTCCTCAAATCGAGTGATAGCGATAGCAGATTCTGTTGTTTTTGACATTGTTATCTTTCTTTGAACTGAAATAAGTTTTAACAATTAAGATATAACTAGAAATGACTCTTAGCAATGATGGCTAAAGAAGGGAAAAATAAAATGGCTATGAAGGCCTAAAATAGAAGTTAGGAATGAAGGCTAAAACTTTTGCTTCCCAAGAAGAGCCTAAAGCTCTGATACCATGTGGAAAAATTGAGAGTATATAGAAAAACTTGTCTGTCAAATTATACAAACACCTTAGGTTTATATACAACTAACTAAAGGGGTCAACTAGGAAATTAAATCTTCCTAAAACTAATCCCTATAATTGAGGGATTGTCTATACTAATTTTCAATAGTTGCAGCTAGATTTGAAGTTGAGATGCATAAAAACTTAAATAAACAAGCTTGAGCAGGGAGCTGTGGGAATTGACAGGTTGGCAGCCAGCAGCCCTATTTAGTGTTTATCAAGGGTCATTTAATTTTGTTTACATATGATGGTGTTGTGCATTGACTTCTCTTGCTTGGATGTTAGGGATTGACTTTATTGTAGATTGTCGTTTACTGCTTTAATACATGCATAAGTGAGCATTGCAAATGAATTGTGTAATTCTTATACAAGACATTCCTTAAAAGTATTGAAGAATAAAGGGAAGAATCATAGGTTGATATTCACTTATGCAGCTTTCTTTTGTGGAGGTTTCGGTGGATGTAGTTGTCTGTTTTCCCCTTCTCATTCTAGGCAGTTGTTCTTTTAGTGGTTTCTGATGATTCTTGGTTTGTGGTGTTTGTTTGATTCTAAGGTGGGAATTCATTAACTTGTTGCCCATGTATTGGATGACATGGCATCTTAGTTGTTCTTTCATTAACAGATTAACATAACTGTTTCACTTAATAATTATAAACCAATAGTTCCAACTTGTGACATTGCAAGGTTTTAAAGTCTAAGGGAAAGATGGATATGTTCTACCCAAACTTAAGGCGGAAAATGTAATACACACTGTTCAATTTTACATGAGTTTCTACCTTTCTTACCTTAAGACCTTCATTTAAATGCTGGAGCTCTGTGGATATTTTGGAACTGCCTTTTTTTTTTTCCCACTTTTTTGTTACTTGGGCATTCCCTCTATGCTTTTATGTGATAGTCTGCAATTCATATGTATATGCACTTTTGTTGTTGAATGTGGGTGCATATCAATGTATTTATCAGTTATTTTTGAGCTGTTTTGAACTCATCTAGCAACAGAATAGGCAAAATATATACTGATAAGTAAGTTACTGAGCCTATTTTGTTACTGCTGCTCTTTGTCTATATCATATGATCATTAAAGCGGGTGTTTGTTCACAAACATTCACCTATGATAAGTCCATTTTTAGTACAGATTTAACAGGTTTCCTTTTTATATTCCTGCATTATTCATTTGTTAGATGCATTTAGTGTAATTTAGAAGGAATGCAGAAAACATGATTGACATTTTAACCTTCTTGCTTTCCATTTGGATGTATCTGTATGGATTTTAAACCTAGTTATATTCTGTTACTGTATACCTATCTAACTGAGAATAATTTCGTAGTCTAATTCATTAACTACAGCATTGAAGGCATAGTTTTGTTTCTTTTTGCAGGAATTTTTTAGATGCCTTGCCGTTTGTCATACTGTGCTTCCTGAAGGTGATGAGTCCCCAGAGAAAATCAAATATCAAGCTGCATCCCCAGATGAGGCTGCTTTGGTTTCAGCTGCAAAAAATTTTGGCTTCTTCTTTTACAGGTTTGTGATGTCCTATGTCTCATTGAGAAGTGGGAGTGCTTTTCTTTTGTTTGTTTAAAATGGGAATTCCTAGAAATAATTTAAATTCAATTTGATTCTGAGTTGGTTTATTTCTTTCTGTTTGAATCTATTTTAAATATTGGACTGCATGTTTTGCAGTTACAACTAATATAAGTTGGATTTATCCAGATCTTGATGTTGTTATTTGAGAGAGTTTTTTGAAGTACAGAATACCTAGCTTGATATCAATGGAGCTTTACTAACCGAACCAAATATTTTGAGTAATCTGATAAATTTTCAAGATCTAATGAAATGTTTTAATTTTCTTCCCTAGATGGTTTTCTGTTTCTCAAAGAAAGGAGAAAAAGTTTATGAAAGCAGCATAACTTGGCAATTCATTGCTATTAATTGTAATTGATTTTTATATTACTGTGGAATAGTGACAACCTCTAGTTGCTGTTTTCTAAAGTTCATTGCAATAGTGTCTTCTATAAATCAGATGATCCCTCAAATTTGGCAAGCACTTGGGATTGACCTCTGGTAGCAGGAGCTTGCAAATTTGATAACTTTTACTTTTGTGACAAATTATGAACCAGGCGTTTTCGTATTATGATTCACTGTTTGTGTTTTTGGTGCAAGTTAATGGAGGAGGTTACTGTTCCTGGATGACTTTACAGTTTGATTGAGGCTCTTTCTTTTTGGGTTTGCAGACGTACCCCTACCATGATATATGTTCGTGAATCTCATGTGGAGAGGATGGGTAAAATCCAAGATGTGTCTTATGAGATTTTAAATGTTCTTGAGTTCAATAGGTTTGGATGCATCCTACACTCATATCTCTTCATTTATGAGTTCCTTCTGGTTGGCACTAATGGCTACTCAATTTTGCATTTAATAGTACGAGGAAGCGCCAATCTGTTGTATGTCGTTGTCCAGATGGCAGGCTGGTACTATACTGTAAGGTAATAAGCCTTCAGAACTTTTTGAACAGGATGAGTATTACAAATGGTTTTTCTTGCATAGAAAATGACACTGGGCCAGAACCGTGCTTTTGCAGGGAGCTGATACTGTCATTTATGAGAGATTGGCAGGTGGAAATGATGATTTAAAGAAAGTGACCAGGGAACACTTGGAACAATTTGGTTCTGCTGGATTACGTACCCTTTGCCTGGCCTATAGAGATCTAGCTCCTGACATGTATGAAAGCTGGAATGAGAAATTCATCCAAGCCAAGTCATCTCTACGAGATCGTGAAAAAAAGTTGGATGAGGTATGTTTTGTTGTTTGATGGTATGTTTATATAACTATGCGGTTAACATTTTTTGCTTAGAGAAACTTGATCTATTATATTCTTTTCATAAATGTTGATTTGTTATCTTCTCTTCATTAAAAAGCTGAATATAATTCTGTTATTATTTGAACGATTGTATATTAAATTTTGCCTGAATAAGGCTGTAGTAATGATTTTGTTTAATGAAATTTTAGTGGTAATCTGTTATTCATGTTATGCTGTAGTAGGCATGCATTGTTTATGATTGTAACTAGATAAATCCAACATAAAGTTGGACCAAACCCACACGCAGTGGGACTTGAACCTAAGACCTCAGGGTTCTAGGGCCTCCTCCTTGCTATTAAGCCAAAGCCTTATTGGCTTATTTCTGCTAGTTGGAGAAAGAAATATAAATAAAACCACCGAATCAGACCCTAAAAATACTTAATTTCTCTTCCCAGATTCTAGGTTTCCTCATATGCCCTAAAACAATGTGTAGCGGTTCCAAGCACCTGCTATGTAGAATTTAAAACCTTCACTTTTTTGCCCACCCAGGATATTTCAGCAACCTTCTCTAAAGTCATTTTCTTTTTTTGCTTGCCTGTTTAATGCTAGTGTTGCTATATTATTTGATGAAACGATCAGGGTGGTTTTTGATTGAATGGAGTCACAATTGCTTGTCACAAGCTTGGTTGGTTTTAAAATTTACACATCTTTTTGTTTATTTACATCCTTCACATTTTAATCTTAAACTGGCCTTTAATGGGAAGGCTGTTCATGTACATCCTTTACTTTGGAGTTTCTGAGATCTTAAAATGAGGTTCAAAACTTCAGCCTGTAAGCAGTTTACTTCCCTGTGTCTTGTATGGTAAATTTTTTGAGCTTATTCATCTTAGTGCTAGTGGAAAGTTGAAAATGCTCTATTTGGATGTAATTTTAATGATTATTGCCATGCACTTTTTTAAAACTTATGCAGGTGGCTGAACTCATAGAGAAGGATCTTGTTTTAATTGGTGCAACTGCAATAGAAGACAAGCTTCAAGAAGGAGTTCCAAATTGCATTGAGACTCTTTCTAGAGCTGGAATTAAGATTTGGGTGCTAACAGGGGATAAGATGGAAACTGCAATAAATATAGCTTATGGTAAGTATTTAATGGGCGATTCTATTTTATGTTAAATTTTCCTTGGAACTGTGTTCATTACTCGTATTGTTCATGACTCATTTTTTTTTTTTAATAATGCTGTAGCATGCAACTTACTAAACAATGAGATGAAACAATTCATTATCAGCTCTGAAACAGATGCTATTAGAGAAGTTGAAGAAAGGGTAAACATTTAGTGCTAGTCTTGTTATTCTTTTAGTTAGAATTTACTATAATACAAACTATTTAATGATATCATGATTATTCTTTATTGAACGTCTATTATCAGGGGGACCAAGTTGAAATTGCACGCTTTATCAAGGAGGAAGTTAATAAGCAACTTAAGAAGTGCCTTGATGAGGCACAGCAATATTTTAACAGAGTCTTTGGACCAAAATTAGCACTTATTATAGATGGAAAGTGTCTGATGTATGCTTTAGACCCAAGTTTACGGATAATGCTCCTCACTTTGAGTTTGAATTGTTCTTCAGTTGTTTGCTGCCGAGTCTCTCCTTTACAGAAAGCACAGGTAGGTTCCTCATGCAACTGAACTGAAACATTATTAGTTTAGCTTTTAGTAGTGTGTGGATAAAAGGTTTGCATACCAAAGCTAAAAAAAAGGTCAATGCAGTAAATTGATGACAATGCTAATGCCCTGTCATTTTTCTCAAGACTTGGATAAATTTACTGGATTTGTTTGGTATATTATTTTTGCAATGTTGACTGCTTTGGAGGGCTGGTGTCATTACATGTATTTTTCAAAACTTTATCAAACCAAACAGTGTTCTAATAGTGGTTAGCGTATCGAGCAACCTGTCCTAAACCTATTTTCTCCCAGATTACTTGGAATATTTTAATGAGCTTTCTTTGAGTGCTGAAGTTCAAAAGAAACTATTGTTAAAATTTCAGTTGTTTTTAATGTAAAAAATTTGTATTTTCAAACCATTGGAACGATAGAGGAAAGGTCGTTAAACAGAGTTTTAAAAGTAACATCTAAAATTACTTTTGCCGTTTGCAGGTAACAAGTTTGGTGAAGAAAGGTGCACGTAAAATTACACTTAGTATTGGTGATGGTGCCAATGATGTTAGCATGATTCAAGCTGCTCATATTGGCGTTGGAATTAGTGGGCTGGAGGGGATGCAAGCAGTAATGGCTAGTGATTTTGCAATTGCTCAGTTTCGCTTTCTTAAAGATTTGCTCCTTGTGCATGGACGTTGGTCTTATCTTAGATTATGCAAGGTTCAACTTTTCTCTTCCTTCAGAAACAGTTTAACATTTTTGGTTGGTAATATGCTTGAAAATTGGTGTTATCTTTAGATTATGCTAGGTTTGACTTTTCTGTTCTTCAAAGCATTTTAAAATTTCTGGTTAGTGATATTCATGGCACCTCCTTTTGCAGGTTGTGACGTATTTCTTTTACAAGAATCTTACATTTACTTTGACTCAATTTTGGTTCACCTTTAATACTGGATTTTCTGGTCAAAGATTCTATGATGATTGGTTCCAGTCATTGTATAATGTCATATTCACTGCACTACCAGTGATTATTGTTGGGCTTTTTGACAAGGTACTTCGCTCTTTCCCTTTATTTCAGATAGAATCTCGTTCTGCCTGTTCTACGCTTGATTGATGCAAGACCTTGCTTGCTATCCAGGATGTCAGTTCATCTCTTTCAAAGAAGTACCCTGAATTATACAAAGAGGGAATAAGAAATATGTTTTTCAAGTGGAGAGTTGTTGCAATATGGGCCTTCTTTGCTGTCTATCAATCTCTAGTCTTCTACCATTTGTGACTGTTTCCAGTTCTACAAGTCAAGGTTCATCCGGTAAAATGTTTGGTCTTTGGGATGTCAGCACAATGGCTTTCACATGTGTTGTAGTAACTGTCAATTTGCGTCTTCTTATGATCTGTAATTCAATCACAAGATGGCATTACCTTAGTGTTGGAGGAAGCATTCTAGCATGGTTTGTGTTTATTTTTATATATTCTGGTATTATGACTCCACATGATCGCCAGGTAAGTCATGAATCATGTTTCGTTATCTTTCTCTTTCCATTTGGATTGGAGGAATGCAACTTCTTGACTCTATTGGCTTCTGCAGGAGAATGTCTTCTGGGTCATATATGTCTTGATGAGTACATTCTATTTCTACATCACTCTTCTCTTTGTTCCTGTTGCTGCACTCTTGGGAGATTTCCTTTACCTAGGGTAAGAATGAGAAATAACTGGAAGTACTACTCTGCTCTAATATATATTTGATGCATGGAAAAGCTTGCTCATGCTCATTAACATTCTAAGGGCTGTTAGGTGGGCAATAGATGTCCTACCATGGGAGTATGCCCTCTTTCTGGTTAGCTAGCTCAGGTTTATTCCCAACCCTGGCAACCAAATACCAGCTACTTGAAACCTAAAATATGCTATGAGGTCAAACCATGTGCCTACTGCCTAGTTTCAAGCTGTGTTAGATTGAGCTGCCCCCAAATGGAAGCAGCATATGAATTATAACACAATTTTTGGTAGCTTCATGTTTGAAATTATGTGTGAAGGTCTTTGAGGGTTTTCTAAAACTGAGACGGGAGTTCTGATTTCTAATTGAATTGACTGAAACAAGATTCATATTTTAAGTGCTTGATGGCACTAATGTCACCCAGCCTTGCATGTAGTCTGTTTTTCTTTTCAATTACTATGATCTCGTATGCTGCATCTGATGAACACCAGAAAAAAATAACAAAAAAAATATTTAGTGTAGTTGATTTAATCAAAGAAAGGTTCACATGCAAAGTTCATTAACCCAAATCACATGTTATCCACTGCATGCTAATTGCATTACTTTGTTTGTATTCCTCACTTATGTTTGTTATCTGTCTTTTCTCAAGCACTATTTATCATGAAACATTTTTCTTTTTTTCCAGTGTGCAAAGATGGTTCTTCCCCTATGATTATCAGATTGTTCAGGAAATTCACAAGGATGACGCTGATGATACTGGTCGTTCAAATTTACTGGGAATCGAAAATCACCTTACACCTGATGAAGCAAGAAGCTATGCTATTTCTCAATTGCCAAGGGAAATATCGAAACACACGGGATTTGCCTTCGACTCCCCTGGGTACGAGTCATTTTTTGCTTCACAGTTAGGTATATATGCACCGCACAAGGCATGGGATGTTGCTCGGAGAGCTAGCATGAGGTCAAAACCAAAGACAAACAAAAGGAATTGAATTCAAAGGAACATTTTGTATAATAGTTTTGAATGCCCCCTTTTTATATTCTAAAATTAGAGAATCTGTAAAATTAGTCAATTTGCTGTAGTGCTTTTTTTTTTTTAAATTTATTTTTCATTTTTCTTCCATTATAAAGCTTTCTTTTTAGGAACCAAATCCAGTATCAGGGTTGTTGCGGATGTACAGCTACATGAATAGACTTAAATGCGAATTTCATTATCCAATTTTAAGTTCTTTATGGCTAGTAGACAAGTTTTAGGATAACAGATATATATATATATATATATATATATATATATATATATATAACTTCCGCGCTTGTTCTGACTTGGTATATTTCCAGAATAAATCACGGATAAGTTGGGAGTTGTGGGAAAAAAAAAAAGAATACAATGGTATGCGTAGGGTAGCTCGCAAAAATGTACCAGCAGCAGTAGGTTTCCTGCCAGCATCTGAAGGCCAGATGAGCAACAGCATGTCAGCAACCATGCATAACATGGATTTTCATTTAAATTCGTTGATAACTCACAATCTTATATATAAAGGTATCATTTTTATAAATGATTTATTGGCAAAAGTTTTATATACATTATTTAAAATTTTTATATTTTCTCATTTGCAATTTTAAAAAAGTTTCAGTGTACATGGTATGGTCCATCAACCTGTGCAATAAGGTTAGGCATAACCAATAAATGTTTCAGTATACATGATAAGTTTAGGCACAAATAAGTTTAGGCATAACCACTTACCTTTGTAGAGATCTGTTATTAAATAATCAAGTTGAGTCAAATATGATATATATGTGTATCAGAGTTAAAAGTATTTAAACTCATGGATCGACACAGTAGACTCATTAAAAGTTAGTGCTAGCACATAGCACGTAAATTAATATGACATGATATATAAGCTCAAATTTAATGTGCTATGTTACTTTATAACTATTATAAATGAGTTTCTAACCTTTGAGTATATGTATATTATTTTTTATATTATAATAAAATTATATTTATTTTTTGGTAATTTATAAAGAAAGTTATATTAAATAAATTTATTTATTAAATATTTAAATTATTGATAGATAAATTATATCTAATTAGTTTGTTAATCGTTTATGTATGGATTATTTATATTTAAATTTGTGTGTATAAAAATAAATTAACATTTTTTTTTCAAAGTTATATGATAAAAAATTTTAAATTTACAACATATATAAAAAAGATTTTAATTGTAAACAAAATAAGGGATTGGAATATCCAAAAAAGCATAAAGAAAAACAAGAAACTGCATTGCCACTTCTAATGACCCCAAACAAAGTACATTTAATTAGCATCCTAATAGGTTTTTAGGTGCACTTTTTTTTTTACAAAATAATTGACTTAATTAATTAGCTAATTTATAATGCAATTTGAGCAGCTATTTGTTTTTGTAGATTATGAACGTTTTAATGATTTAATTAAAAATAATATACTATCTAATTATAAAACAGTTTCAAGAAATACTTTTAAATCATATGCTTTTAAAATATTTTTTTATAAAAAAATTTAATATCTAGTTTATCAAAATTTCCTCTAGAATTTCACTTCGATATTAAACCAGTTGATAAAACCTTAGTTATATGTATTACTAAGCATTGGATAGATTATGTATAAGTGTTTTTTTTTTTAAGTATTAAAATTGTAATTTTAATATTTTTATTTAGCATATTCTATTATCTATCTTCGTGAATTTATATATTTTATCGAATTACATAAAATATTTGTCCTTGTTATTTCATTTCGTATTTATTATTTCTTGTATGTTATTTTTAATAATAATAAATGAAATTTAAAAAAAAATAATTAAAATTTTGAATGTGTATTAATGGGTTAAGTTTGGCCTAAATTGGCATGAAAAATAATATTGTGCTTGGCACAACATGATTCATAAAAATTATGATTAGATGTTGTGTTAAACTATACTTTTAACTTTTATGAGTCATACCAGTACGATACATTAAAAGAAAATAGTACTAAATCGATATGATCCATTAACATATAAATTAATATTTAAATGAATTGATACATTAAAAAAATAATGATGTGTTGACTTAACACAGCTCATTTAACATCTCTAAACCTACGTGATAAGTTTAAACATGAAAATTTCTATCTTAAAAATCAGTCTCTTACTCACATTTACTTCACATGTCAATAGATTGTGCCAAGTGTGTGAATTAAGACTCGTGGATTTAACAAATAGCGCTTGCATGAATTCACTACAGGAGTTTAGGTTTTTAGTAACATTTTTTTTAACGTTTAGCGGCGTTTATAAATGCCACTAAAAGATTTGTGGCGTTTACGAAAAATGTCACTCAGAGTGCCGGCAATACGCACATCATGAAAAATAATGACATTTTCAAAAAATACCGCCATCTTAGTGACGTTTCTATATTTGAAACGCTGCTAAATTAGTTGCATTTTTATGAGAAAAACATCGTTACTTTGGTCGCGTTTATAACTAAAAATGCCGCTACTTTATAGGCATTTGTATATGAAAATACCTCTATATTAGTAGCGTTTGTATCTTTGAGACGTCGCTAATTTAGTGACGTTTTTATGAGGAAAACGCCGTTTGTTTTGGTGGCATTTGTAAATAAAAATGCTGCTACTTTAGAGGCGTTTGTATCTGAAAATGCCTTTATATTAGCGGCGTTTGTATCTTTGAGACGCCGCTAATTTAGTGACATTTTTATGAGAAAAACGCCGTTGCTTTGGTAGCATTTGTATAAAAAAAAGCCATTTACTATAGCATTTGCTGGTAAGAGCGTCATTACTTTTAATGGCGTTTTACGATACAAACGTCATTAAATTATTCATTTAGCGACATTGTTGAATGCAAACGTAGCCATTTTAAAAAAATGTATTTTTTTAAAAAATTTGTACGTTAATAAATTTTAATTTCATTAAAGAGCTTAAATTCAGAAACTGAAATTAATATAAACTTAATTCACATTTAAATATACATCTAATTAATACAAAGTTTAAATTTTAGTATAATAACATTCAAATATTTTTAATACATTAAGAAAATAAAAATTAAAATGTATGAAATAAATGACTGCATAAATTTTGCTGGCTGCCAATTGATGAAGAAAAATTTTTCACCTTAGTTACTAGCGTGCTCAAGAACCTACTGAATAATATCATACAATTTTTAACATTTCATTGTAAGCTTTTTTTATATTTAAAAATTTAAATATTTACTAAATATAATACTTGAGTTGGTGGAGCACCAAGATCATTTCTTGGAAATTTTTGTTGCATAAAATTCATAAGATGATTGAATCGATCATGCAACTATTGAAATTTTGCATGCTTTTGCTCCATTTTAGCACGTTCTTCCTGAAATTTGACACGCTCATGTTCTTTTTTTGCTTCCATTTGCTGAAAACATTGTTGTATAGTTTGCAACTCCTCTCTCAATATTGAAATGTCTCGTGAAGACTGACTTACTAAGGATGTAAATTGTTGAGAGCTATGTCCATAGTAGGTAGATGGTGTTGGACCCAATCCAAGGCCTTGGACCCGTTCATGCCTTTCTTTTCCAACAACTTCTATAAATATCCGATTTTTCATTTCTTGCATGTTAAGAGAACCATCAGATACTACTTTAATCTCAGCAGCCATTTTTTCTTTTGCTTTCTCCTATGAATTTGTCATATACAACTATCAAGTGTAATGATTAATTGATAATATGTTAAAAAGAGTAAATATTTACTTTCTGTTAATATTAATTAAACAAATTACCACAATTTCTTGTGTTTTGACATTCATGTAAGATTCATCTTTTTTTGTGTGTGTTATGCCAAAAAGTTCCACACGTCCAATTGTACCACCCATCTCATTCTCCTATGTAAAAACATATGTTATTTGATAGGATATATATCAACTATAACTTATTCATGCATATCAAGCCTGTCAATCAAGTATTAACATTTCAAATAATTTTAATCTAATGTATTTATATTTTGGCCCTATAACAACACAATAGTCTTAAACATAATCACACCTAAAAATATTTTGGCCTTTCACACATATAGATCATGGAAACCAAATTCAATTATTTTCTCCCGGTTTAATAACATGGATTGAAGCCATTCAATATATTGAAAGCCATCCAAAAGTTTAATTTGTATACTTGCTTGTTATACGCAAAAATAGTCCCAAATAGACATAAATGACAACTTTTTCTCTCATATTAACCGTAGAAACCAAGTTCAATCAATCGGACAAGTTTAATATCAAGTATTGAAGCTATCCAAACTGTTAAAATACAACAATAACAACAAATTTGTATTTTTACCTAAATATACTTAAACAATAACTTTTTCTTATATATCATCCGTGTCAACTAAGTTCAAAACTTTCGATAAGTTTAATATCATGTATTAAAACTATCAAAACTATTAAAACAAAACAATAACTGTTAAATTGCATATTTACCTTTTAACGACAGAAAAAGTTCATTCATTGGAATAAGTTTATTATTATAAACTTACTATTTCTTTTTGCTTTCTTGTAAAACTTTGTGATCCACTTGTGTGGGAATATTTCTGTTGCTTTCTGCTACCAATCCCAATCTATTCTCTTTCTTATCATAAAAGATAATTGCGTATATGATAGAAATACAAATATTACCAACTTAAACCATAAAACACTTTCATTATTTCATTCTACTATACAAAGTTATAAACTAGTACCTCTCATTTTCTTGAGAACCAAAATCTAACTAATTGTTCATATGGCCACCTAATCATATTACAGGGTAAATTTTCCATCATCGCCTCTACATAAGTACTTTGATCGAAATACTTATTCTTCAAACTATGCTTATAATCTTTTTATTTTTTTTCCCAATGACTAAAGTACAAATAAAGTTGGTATTTCAAGTATAAATCTTGACTGCAATAATACAATAAGAAAAGTTTGAATAAGTAAACAAAATGTAAAATACAAAATTTTTTATTTCTAATTAATTTACTAATATCTCAATAAAGTTTAAAGCATGAGCCTTAACTTTTTCTGGAACTTTATGCCATGTTTCATAATGAATAAACAATTTCATTCCATTACGGCCTAGCATGCCTAGAAATCCAGCCAATAGTTGAGCCTCTTCACTAATTGGTTGCTTATAAGAGTTTGTAGACACTATAATACACTAGTTAAGAGGTAGTGCAAAATATTCC